ATCATTGGTATCTAAGTCTTCCGCTGTGCTATTTTATACTTTGTATTGAAAGGTCGGTTCTTGTTCTGGTCTGCACCTATACGGTATGCAACAGTAGATCTAGAGTACCGGCGTGCTAACGTCTTAAGCCGAATACAGGGTACACTGTCATTATAGCTGTATTCGGGGCAACTTTGAGTCTAGATACAGCGCTAATCACCGACATTGTATTCGGGCGAAGTCGGCAGGACAATCCGCAAGGGGGTTGAGCATTCTGTTTGGAAAAATGCCAGTCCCCCTGTTCAAATGGCCTGTTTTGAAATAATTCCCAGGCTCCGGGAACCGCCGTCCGGGACCAGTAACGAAGCAGCATTCGGATATGTGATGACATCTTATTTTTCTTTCATATCATCAGGCCCAACAAACCTTTTTTTAACCTTTTTTTTTGTCCTTTCTTTCTTTCTTTTTAACCCCCCTCCCCCCTTAAAGCACTAGTACTTCCGCAACTGTTGGGAGGCTGGGCCCGACGACGGCTGCCATTGATAAATCTCATAGGCGGCCGTCGTTTCGTTTTGGCCTCTGATGGAGGTTCTGAAGGACAGGCCTGACAAACTTCGTTTTTGAGGTTTCCCCCTCTTTGCCACGCCTCTCTTTTAGATCAGGTAGGTCTGGCGGGGCAGAATAAGGTTGCTTCCCTGCAGCAGGATCGTTGTAACTCAAACATCCCGGCTGCTGGGAAAGAAAAAATCACATTTCACAACAGTAATTGCAACTTGACATCTTACTCCCGTCAACTGTAGAGAGTTCTCCTGTGGTTATTTGCCGGTATACCAGCAGTTAGCTTCCCTTTCCCGGTCTTTATCTGTAGTCCTACAGCCACTGTTAATCAATTGGTCGCCAGACACGGACTTAAACCACCCCTACCCCCGGTGTCATAAATTATAGGGGGGACCGGTAGCACAGGTCCATGAGGGCTACTGGTAGCACAGTGGGGGGAACTGGCGGAGTGGCAAAATTGGAAAAGTGTTGAATTGCCCCCGTGATTTATTCTGCTGTTAAAATGATTTTTATTTTTAAAAAATATTTTTCCTATAAAGGTTGCGACAAAATCTACGGACCCTCGAATTTTCAGAGTTGTCGAGTCATCCTTCTGAGCTAAAAAAATTGCGAAAGTTGGGGTACTTTTCCCGTTGGCCCACACGTGGTGGAGTGGCAAAAACGGAAAATGCAACGAAACGACGCGGCATTTATTTCACGGTCTATTTTTTTTTTCAGTTTTTTATTTTTTTTCCTGGAAAGATCACAACCTAATCTACAGGATCTCAAATTTTCAGATTTTTTTGTCAACTCGTCTGAGCGCGAAAAACTGCCAAAGTTCGCGCTCGAAATTTTTTGGACCGGACCCGCCTGCCCCTGCCAGTCGCCGCCCCCCCTAAGAACCCGGTCCATAAGGCCAGGAAAGACGAATTTAGGCCGGCAGGGGTAGTGGTGGTTTAGCGAAGCTGCATTCATTACGATATGTGAAGTAGAAGTTTAAATCACGTTCTATGCGATGTCAAACCGATCAGGAGCGAAAGCAGCCATTGCCAACCCACAGGATTGCAAATAGAATGAACTACAAGTCTACAGCACTAACAAGGTAGAGAGAACAATCTCGATAATGAACAATAAGTCGGATACGAAGGCTCCAGTGTCACTCGTGTTCTTTCTCGAGATTTCTCGTCATTGGGGACTCTTGCCAGGGGCTCTTAACCTTAAACCGGCCCAGGCAAACTTGACCATATTGACATATCGAGCCAATCTGATAATTTTGGAGGCTGGGGGGTACTGGACCAAATTGGCTGACATTCCCAGCCTAAAGGAAAGCGAAAGTGCCTTGCCGGTGTTTTGGCAAAGCTTGGCGCGCCGGGGGAATGAATCTCCGCGCCGGCAAAACGAGGCTCAGATGTGGTGGTGGTTTGAACCGCTAGTACACGGCCCCAGCCTTGCAGAAAGTTTTTGTCTCCACAAGCAAAACTCGGAGGCGCTGCGCGGCCAGGGGCGCTGTAGAAAAAAAAATTGGCGGCTTCCGAAGTGGTGCGCGTTTCATGCTGACACCCACGGACCAATATGTGGTGTACGTGCGCTTTCAAGGTTTTAAGCTAATCTTATCTCCCTCCTCAACTGTCCTCCCATCCCAGAGCTCGAGGGCCAAAAGGGATGAAATCTTGACAGTCCCTGAAAAGTCTTGGAGTCTTCTTCTTCGATGCGGCTATGGTCGCTTCCTTCGTTCTCAGTCATCATCCATATCAAGTCCATCTTCCTACTCCACCACCAGCTGTCGTGATCGCCTACGCCATCTACGTATGACTGCGTGCCGTAACTCGCTCTACTCTGATTCTGGTGGTGGCAGGGCAGCATGGTTCACTAACCCAGCGCTTGGGCTGAGCGAGAGGTAGAATGTGCCGCAGTTGTGCTGGCCACGGAGATGTATTGCTTTTTTGGGGCGCCGGGGTGCGGCGTCTGACTTGGTGGCTGCTGCGCCCAGTTGGTCCTGGAGTTATCCCGAAACGTCGACCTTTGAATCAATCTATGGGCATCATGTGGCTGGACTTTTCTTCCGGAGAACTTTCTCAGCATTGGGGCGGAGCAGGTCCTAATCGTTGACCTGCCGAGGCATGGGGTACATGAATTCAGTCGTCGATGGCCCCCCCCAAAGAAAAACGGTTAGTTGCCGTTTTTCGCGAAGGAACTTGGACTTCACCTCAGCTAAGGAAGTAGTCGCCGTTCTTCTCGAAGCAACATCTTGCTTGAGATCGAGTAGAGAACTTGTTAGACTTTACCTCATCTAAGGAAGTAGTCGCCTCAGCGAAGGAAGTCGTTGCTGTTCTTCTCGAAGGAAGTGGTTGCCACCGTCCTCATCTTCCTCCATCCTCCTCCCGCTGCTCCTGCTTCTTCTTCCGCTGGCCTGACGGTTGCCTGGGAGTGCCTTTTCCGCCGCTTTTCTCCTCCTCTTTCATACTCTCCTCTGCGTTATCTTTCTTCCTTGTTATTGTCCGTTTGACAGAAGGGTTTGGAGCTGTGAAGCCCTCTTTGTCTAGATGAATGCATCCAAACATGGGAAGCCCTCTTTGTCATTGTCCGTTGCCAGGAGCCCGTCCATGCTTCAAGTTGTTTTGAGACGCGCAAATTGCTATGCGCATTTTCCAGAAACTAGTGCACGTCCGTGGAGACCAGCTACGTGCTTTAGGGGCCTCGGACCCCCAGTACACGGCCGCAGCCTTGCTGAAAAAGAAATGCGTAGCCTACAAAAAAATTGTAGGCTCGGCCTACCAGACGACGAAGAGAAAAAAAAAGGGTGCCGCTGGCGGTTCGGAAAAGCTTGGCACACAGTAATTGGCCTGCAGGCCCGACAAGTTCTGTTCTGAGGCGAATGTGGATTTGGATGACATCTGGAGGTAGGGCAGTCTTTGACCGGCTTTGGCCTATCACCATGTCTGGTCGACTAACACAGAGTCGTAGACTACGGGGTTCCCATCCCCCTCCCCATGCATCTCTCTCATGTTTTGTTCTCTATATGGGTGTTGTGGAATAACCACTGGCAGGTATTTCGTGTTCTTGCAGTTTCACTCATTTCCGTTGAATGATTTGTCATCGCTGTGCGTTCACTGCAGGCTGTCAGGACGTCACTGAGGGGTTCTGTGCGCAAGATCTGGCGACGTCGCAGAACCTAAAGACAATCGGACGTTTGGAAACACTGGCTGGCAAAGCAATATGGAGCAACTTGACCACCACCCACTTCCGCTTCGTCCATCTGTCCATCAATATGTCAGTCCATGCATTGGACTGCGAGACAGGGCAGAGTTGGATGGGTCAATATGCATGGATCGGAATCAGTTTTGCCAATCAATGACTGATGTTCTCCCATGCTCTTGCATGCACACCCCTTGTGCTGATCCCTTTCCTCACTTGGTGGCTGCATTGCAGAGTTTGTCAGAGATTTTTCTCCTCTTTTGCATATCTTCGAGGCCGATATCATAACGAATTTTCATCACAAGCCTTGTGGGTTCCTGCTTTTTGACACATCTCTCTCTCTCTCTCTCTCTCTCTCTCTCTCTCTCTCTCTCTCTCTCTCTCTCTCTCTCTCTCTNCTCTCTCTCTCTCTCTCTCTCTCTCTCTCTCTCTCTCTCTCTCTCTCTCTCTCTCTCTCTCTCTCTCTCTCTCTCTCTCTCTCTCTCCCCAATTCCTTGGGTCAGATGCGTGCGTTTCGTTTCTGTTTCTCTCTTTCTCCAATTCCTTGGGTCGGATGCGATGCTGTTGTTGTGTTGTTTTGCTGATGCACCTGTGTGTGTCTGGTCAAGCATGTGTGATATACTCCATGAAGATGAGCTACTAACAGTGGCCATAAAATGGACTCCAGAAGTGGAGTTGTCACTCTTGTTCCTAATGCAAGTACTTTATGCTGTGACAATATAGTGCATGCTAAGATATGTCTGAACTTCGATGGTCAAGTTCATGGTCCATGCCGAATGTTTTTAATTCCTATCTGCAGAGCCGGACTACTCTGTTTCCACGCCATGAAGTTTCTGACCGGTTTGTAGGTATCATCGTAGGAGCATGCTACCTACCTTCTCCCCCATGAACGTATACAAACCCCATTCCTGTAGAAAATTACTAGTAATACAAATTATACAATCATGATGAGGGTGTGTTGCGTTCGTGGGAAGAACAGAGAAGCTGTGTGGCCGTACCCAGCTGAAGAACATAGTACCCATTGTCATAGCCGTGTTATGACGGAGTCTAAGAATAGTGGTCATGCTACGGGAGGGGCCAGATGTGGCTTGGTACAGTCGTGGGGGTACAAGTTGGTATGGGTGGGCACTTCTTGATATGGTCTGGCAGGTATGGTCGGGGCTTAAACCACCAGTACTTGGCCCAGGTATCGATTCCTAGCCTCGGCCGACCAGTATGTGGAGCCGTGCAGAGGCTCGCACTACCGGGCGTAAAGTTCCCCATGCTGTTACCCCGAAAAACGGGAAAAAAAAACATTTCAGTTGGGAAAAAAAGAAAGCAGAAAAAAGAAACGCGATCGAAGAAAAAGAAATAAGACGAGCAAAAGAAAAACAACAAAAAAAAAGGAAAAGAAAAGAAAAAATGAAGTATCTGCTTCCGCGTGATAGAGAGAGAGAGAGAGAGGGACGGCTCGCTGCACGGAGGGCAGCGGCCATCTCGCCCCCTCTCTCTCTCTCTCGCTCTCTCTCTCTCTCTCTCTCTCTCTCTCTCTCTCTCTCTCTCTCTCTCTCTCTCTCTCTCTCTCTCTCTGTGTGTGTGTGTGTGTGTGTCTGCCCCCGCACCATTCGAAAAAGCAAAGCGGGAATTTTCCTGCTTTGCAATGTCGAAAGTCAGAGAGAGAGAGAGAGAGGCGACAAGATCGCCGCTCTGCACGGAGGGCAGAGTGGCGATCTCACCTCCCTCTCTCTCTTCTCTTCTCTCTCTCTCTCTCTCTCTCTCTCTCTCTCTCTCTCTCTCTCTCTCTCTCTCTCTC